AGTGTTAGATTGTGCCTCCACTTTATACTACTAGGAGCACATTGCTATATACAAAATCTAAATTGCTAGGAATTCAATGTGACAAAATTAACCGAGTATTACAATTTGTTGATGTGCCAGAGCCCTAATATAGAAACTTTTATTTAGGTTGGGATTTGTTTCAGTTTGAATAATGTTCCAAGAAGTTGAAAGGTTATTGGGAAAAAATTGCTAAAGAAATTCTCTAGTATGTTGGATGAATACTGATGATATAGTTAGTATATAGGGTTACAGGAAGGCTATACAATATAAATTATGGGAAATATGAATGCATTCTGAAAATTGTAAATTTTATCCTCAGCTAGCATTTATTACTATTTCCAGAAGGAATTTGTGATGAGAAGATTAAGAAGCCATAATTAGTTTCCATCAATCTCTGTCAATAAATATATGGGAATTCTGATACATGTTGAGCACTGCATTATGTACTGAGGGTTATGCTGTCATTGAGTGGTCATATAAAAACTCAACCATCTAACAATTAAATCCTAGTATGGGCATACCCCAGCACAGTACATGCACATGTGAATGTGTGGTGGGTGAGGGGAGACAGAGAATGAGGTGGAAAGAAAATGTGTATTCAGTGACTGGCACACTGCTTAAAAGTAGAAAAAGATTCTGCATGCTAAAGGGGCCAGATTCAGTGCAGAACTGTCCTTTGAGTTAATCCCTAAAGGATAATAACATCTTGAAAATAGGTCTGCTACTTGACATTTGGTAAAATTCTAGCCCACTACAGTTTTTTCGCTACAGAGATGTTATGTTTTGCACATTCACAATGCTTTGTTGTTTCTTTTGTAATGTTAAATCTCTGGTGTTGCATTGAACTCTATGTTTCCCTTATGCATGGCTAGTTGGTTTATACCAAGAGATGACTTGAATAGTTTCCTAGAGATGGCTTGTTTTTTTCTCCTTCTTTTAATACTTTTTCTAAGTTACCACTCCTGGTGGGGCTTATGCATGAATGTGGAAACACACATTCTCTTTCTCTCACATATTTAAAACAAAACAGTTTCTAATCCTCAAACTTGGTGTAAAAATGCCACAAAGAGGATTATTTGAGCAGTTCATCTATTTCTCTTAGCAAGTTATTTTAATTACTTTTTTACATTTATGATTAAATAATATTTCCAATGAAGAACTGATTATGAGATTGAGCGAGAAAAGAGGAAGAAAAAACACAATATATTTTGGAGTTAAAAAAATAAACTTTTTCTGTAATATTAAACTGGGTGGAGGAAAGTCTTCACTGAAAGGCCAGAACAATCATACAACAAGGCTTCTTCCCCCTCAGTCACTGCCAGATTAAGCATTGAAGGTGTTCCTTTTTTATTCTCACTTCTGATGAAATGTGGAAAGGACTCAGAGACAATAACAGGGAATCACATTGTTCTCCTGAAAGAATAATATCCTTGAAGGTAATGTTTTGGTAGCAAAGAGACAGGCTATCTTTTTTTTCTATGTCCAAAATGCCAAAGTATATGTCTCAGAAAATTATCATAGCTTTTGATTATTTGGTTATTTTATATTGTGGAGCCCTAATTAAGAGCTAAAAACTCCAGCTCGCAATTTCGATGCTTAGATATGTCCAAGGTTTTGGTATCCAGTAACTGAGTTTTTGTTTTATTTCAACTTAGAACTTAGAATTCCGGCCTTATGTAGAGATTGTTTATATTCATGATGCCTGATAAGATTTACCTTGTGGGCAGTTATGATGATCAAACAGTACATAAGCATATCTGTACACAATGAAACATATTTGCATTTAAAATACACAAATATACTAACAAATGAATTCAGACTGCATTTATCCATTTGCTCATTCATGTAGTCAACAAGATGTGCCAATTGCAATTAAAAATTATGTTCTTAATGTCTTAAGATCTTAGATTGTTTTTCACAGCTGAACTTTTTTCTTTTGAAATTGAGATTTTACATTTAGTCTCTATATCCAGGGGTGGAGGAAATTTATCTCCTATGGAAGTTTACTGGAGAATTTCTGGGAACTCTAGGGCATCTGGGGATGTGTTCTTATGAAAGATCAAAGTTTCCTCTTTCTTCATGCTTAACAATTCTCCTCGATGGAGGAAGAGCCTACCATAAATAGGGTTTACCATATTTTCATGTTCTCTTATTAATAACGCCACAAAATTTTCCTCTCAGTTGCATACCCCATTTGATAGTATCTTCTAAAATCTAAGTTAAAACAAGCAATTCTATTTCTTCTGACCCCCTACATTATTTTAGACTTTTCATAATAAACTATGAAGCTTTTGTGTTTTAATGTTTATTTATTTGACTGAAGTACGGAAATGTACTTTAAATAATTCTCACTGCCCTTACCTTAAATTCAGGTACAGATGGAATCTGAAGGAATTTATCCTATCATAATTAAAGTATTCTTGAGTCATCCCCAAGTTAGTTAATTTGGTGTCTTCAAAGAACATCTTAAGTGACAAAACACTGAAAATTTAATAGATCAAGAATGTAGATTACGTTAAAAGTATATTCACAGCACCTTCAAGTCATTTATTTTCCTTCCCAAATTCACTCTCCTTGTTAATCTGGAAGCCAACCAACTTGATTGGAATCTCAGTTCTGCCACCTATTATCTATGTGCCCTTAAGCAAGTTAATATCTCTGTGCTTCCTCTTCATTGACAAGATGAAGAAAAGAGCAGGAGACACTAAATAGGGTTTCTATAACAATGAAATGAGTTCATACATGTACACAGCTTAGAACAGTACTATTTGTATAGTAAGGCCTCCCTATAAATGTTGACTATTATGATGGAGAAGACATAATACTGAAAGAAAGAGCTATTCTATTCAACAACTCTTTCTTTGTTCTCTACTCCTGTACTACATTTTCTTGACAGTCATTATAATTACAGAAGATGGACTCATGAAAATATCAAACTGAATGTTGAAATACATGAGTTTGAGGAAAGGTGGAAGTTAAACTACTTTATAAAGATGTATCCTGAAACCCTGAGTCATAACACAGTGCCCTCCCACCAGGGCTGGTCTCCCAGTACCACTCTGATCTTCTCTCACCTGGAAGAAACACACACAGCATTTTTTTCGTTTTCATTCGGACCTTCTCTTTGCACTTATTTATAGTTGTGGTGTCTTTTGACCAATATTTCTAATTAATATTATAAACAAGGTACCCAGGAACAGCTAAATGTATTTCATTTTATTAAAAATATTCACACAATAATGGAGCTATAAGAGTAATAACACAAAGCACAAAAACAAATGACAAAAGAATATATCCTGAGAATTTGAGTCCTCAGGTAGAAAGGGGAATGCGACGATAATAACTATGGATTTCCTGGTAGAACTCAGAATGACTAAATATGTAATATTTAGGGTTTAGTTTTTTCAATACCACTCTCCTTTTGGGATGCCTGTATACTATGTGTTTCTACTTCTAAACGTTCTTCTCTTCCTCTTCCTTTCTTGTCAGAGTTACTAGACAAAGTGAGAGTGAACTCATTTGCCCCTTATCTGTATCTTTGTATAATATACATTGGAGGTTTTGCCCTATCGTAACTTAGGTGTTCTAACAAAGGACATTACTCACTGAATAGGTCCTACATTTCTCAGGTCTCTCTTCTAAGATTCTAATGGTTATCATGCTTATCTTAAGATAATGGACAGATCTATAGTTACAAATAAAGGTATATCTTGGAATCCTTTAGAAGAGAGAAAAAATTTGCCCTTTCAAGTTATCCTGGACCAAATAAATAATTAAAAATGAGTCATGCCAAGAAGTGATTTGCATCAGATACCTTACCTTGTTTTTCTCAATTATGGTTTTGTGGAACTGTGAAATATCCCATTAGGTAACAAACCAAAATTTGTCCAGACAGCCTGTGAAGTTATATTACTGAAATGACCATGTGTGGAACGTAATTATTGTATGAGTCATTCAGAACCATAAAAACAAGAGTTTATTAAATTTTATAAAATTGACTGATTTTAAAGAGGTTTTCCAGATAGAAATGGTTGTATTCTTATTTAAGTAACAATGCCAAAAGTGATTTTTCCCCCAGAAAATGCTCATACAACTCTAGCACTGGCAATGCTAGTCCTCGTGGTGTACGTGAGGACTAAAGTTAATAAAATTATCTTGTATTAGGGAATTTTGTTAAATAAGTAGATTTTAATTGCTCTTGTTCCCTCAAAAAGCAACTATATGAGATGTTGAATATGTTAATCTGCTTTACTGTAGTAACCATTGACTATCTGTATGAATCCCATAACGTTCTGTTTTAAACTGGAAATATACACAATAGGATTTCTTTTAGAAAACAAACAACAGATAATCTACTACTCAAAGTTGGTGAAACTAAAATTTTTGTAAGTTGACTATGTTTTCTCCATTGACTAGATTACATTTAGAAATGTTTTCAACCAGAAAAGATATCCCTAAACTTTATTAACACCCAATTAATAATTCTTATAAAATATTTGTATAGATAGACAGAGATAGATAAATTTAACTAAAAACCAAAATACTGAAAGTAACATTTAGCAAGGCAACAACTTGCCTGCAGAAAATACAGTAGTGTGTATTGGGGCTATTGAAATAAATACGTATCAATGATCTAATATTCTAGAGGAGAATCATAAGTAAAGCATCTTATTGACAATACCTAATAATAATGTTACTATTTATTATACAGACATGTAAGTTGATTGAAAACTGACTATATAAAGAGGTTCTGAGGCCAGGAGTGGTGGCTCACGCATGCAATCCCAGCACTTTGGGAGGCCGAGGTGGGAGGATCCCAAGGTCAGGAGATAGAAACCATCGTAGCTAACACGGTGAAACCCCGTCTCCACTAAAAATACAAAAAATTAGCCGGGCGAGGTGGCAGGCGCCTGTAGTCCCAGCTACTCGGGAGGCTGAGGCAGGAGAATGGTGTGAACCGGGAAGGCGGAACTTGCAGTGAGCAGAGATGGCGCCACTGCACTCCAGCCTGGGGGACAGAGCCAGACTCCATCAGAAAGAAAGAAAAAGAAAGAGAGAGAGAGAGAGAGAAATACTAATAAAAAAGAGGTTCTGGCACTGTTCAAGAACAAATTCTGGCATCAGTTATACATTTTGATATTCTTAAGTCTGCTCTAAATCAGTAGAATTCAAAATGTTTAAATGAATACGAGGCCTTCTATTTGTGTGGCTTTCATAAAATTACTCTGGTATTCTTTTTGAGGGGTGTGTGTGTGTGTATGTAACGTTAATAAGGCATTAAGCCAAGATACTTATACAACATTTCCATTTGAAAAATCTTTGGACCAATAGGTTGATCATTAGGAGACTTTACCGTTGTATTTATAGTTCAGAATAGGTCATTTGCAAAAGTTAAACAGAAATATTATCGTTCTTAAGGCAGGTAGAGATAGGAATTTATCAATTCATTCAGGTCCATTCTAAAGGAGGCATTGTAAAGCAATATCTTGAAAAGATCCTACATCTTACTTCTTTCCAAATACCCTTATTGAGTAGTTACCATGAGTAATGGTGTATAGTTTCTTTTATTTGGAGGAGGAATACAGTTATGATTGCATTTATTTTATAAACTATTGAGTCAGAAGGCTCAATACTTAAGTCCAAGATTCTAAGATTCTAGAAATAAATAATATGACCATGTCATCTGCTTTCTACTCAACCCCCACAGATCAAGAATAACTACGTAATTGTCTTCTCAAGGGGCTTCCACTAATTCCTTTTCGATCATCAGATTAGAAGGTAACATGCTGTAGCAATGTTATTTATATATATATATTTTTTTCTCTCCTGAGAATTGGATTTAATATTTGGAGACACCTTCAACTTTTCCCCAAAGTAGTTAAGGAGATTATTCGGCTCCTTAAGGGGTATTTTTTTTCTGAAGGGATAATGCAAAGAGGAATCATGACATCTCTTGATTGGAGTAAAATGTAAGAACCAACATTGGCCTGGTGGGATTTGAGTTATGATAAATGGATAAAACAAGATTAAATTTTTTTAAAAAAATGATGATGTATAGCTATTTCACATTTTAATAGAGTTCTGAAGTATAGATGTGACCCCATTACTTTCTTGCACAGACTTCCAATATTGTTTTTAAGGATAAAGTTCACAGCCTGCAGGTTAACATTCAGGTTCTTAAATTATTTTTGTCTAATCTTTCTAGACTCACATTCCTCTAATTCTCCACATGAAACTTTCATCTGATTATGCAACACATCTTGCTGTCTCATATTTCTGTCCCTTTCCTCTTTTTTTATTCTGGGAAATCTTTCCTACCTCTATCATCTGAAGTTTGATTCAAGTAAGCTCTTCCTCTCATTTAGTTAGAGAAGCCTCTCTCTGTGTTTTCATAGGCACATTGTGTTTCTATAACACAACACTTATTACACTATTATAGCATTAACTTACTTGCCTCTCTTGTCCAGCACTTCAGGTGTTTTTGAGGCAAGGGAATAAGTTAGATTCATCTTTGTCATCTCGGTGTCATATAATGTTTGGAACACAATAGGTGTATAACAAATACATATGAAATAAATGACAGCTGACTAATGCTCAGTTTTTTAGACCAGATTTACATTTTTAGTCTTAAAGTGATTTCTAAGTTCATGTCCAACCACTGAATTACATGCAAGGACCAAGGAGCCAAGACTTCAGTGACAGATCAAGACTAAAATTCTAAGTGAGGCTAAAACTGTCATAGTTAATGCAATTTTTGCTTTGAGGAATCTTGATATGATGCTAAATTTCTAAAAGGGCAAGTAAAGTAGAATTGAGCAGGCAGCAGAAATTGTACACACTTTTAGACATCAGAATGAGCATCCTAAGAAGAGAACACAAACTTTGACCATTTTCTTCTACCGTCTTCACTGCATGGGCCTCAAATCTGGCTATGGATGCCTCTAGACTTTCTGCTCAGGAAATAGGCCACTGGTGAGTTTTGCAGAATTTCAACAGCAACTGTACCCAAATAGCACCAAAAAAAAAAAAAAAATTATATGAGTAGTTTTAGACCTTTTTTCGTAGCTTGTAGATCTTCTACTTATTTTTCCTATGACTAGTATTATAATAGAATGTTTTCCTTTTTTTAACTTAAACATGCTCTTAAAACAATCTTAAAACCAACCATCATTTTAAACTCTAAATCTACTTCTTATTTATTATTCTTTTTATGACACAACTTTTCCTCTCAAAATGTTTACAATTTCAATAGACAGATAATAGGCAAAGGCATAAAAGAGAATGATCAAGTGCTACTGTATATGGAATTGACAGAAGGAAAAATCACTTTTCCAGCATATTCAGGGAGAACTTCAGTACAAAGCAGCAACTTTAATTAGGTTAAATATATATCTAGTTTTATTTGGATTCATTGAGTTAAAAATTATAAATTGAGAGTCATGGCAATGTAGGAACGATAATTACTACCTAGAATCTAGATAGCCCATAAATTCATGTGATCTGTAGAATTTTAAATCACTTCCATGGCTTATTCAACAAACACATTCAAAAATCATTGATCTCTGTATTTTTGGAATTTTATATTCTTCCCCCACTAAACAGATATCTTAATTGCACATAGTTTATATGAATAATTCACAGCCTCCTAAATTTAAGTGCAGTCTTTCAAATTGTGCAGAATATTTTAAGCAAGAAAACAAATAAAATATCCAAAATACCATCTTCTAGTGTAATATTGCAACTGTATAGAAGTTTTTATTAAACATGTTGATGCCTCTTCATTGAGTTATTTCTTTGGTTTAATTTTGTGAAAATCTTACCTATCTTAAGAAGTGAGAAGACACAAAATTACAAAGAAAACTGGCTCCATAAATTGGTACAAGTTGCTTTTACTTGGAAAGATTTTTTGCTGTATTTCCCATTTACTATCAAATATTCCTCTTATCAGAATTCAGCCAACCAATAATTTATTTGAGAATTAAGTTTATTTTAAAAAGAACTGAATACTATACATTATTATCAATATTGTTGTTGTTATTCCTGCATGATAACATTTGTTTCAGAACAACTTAGAAAACCATACAGGCATTATACACTTAGACTGAATAATCAAAGAAATGGCAGTAGCTCTTTTACAGTGAAAGAATATGAGGCCTCAACAGATAAATAATCCGTGCAGAATTATGAAGCCTGGGAGTGAGCTCTGCAATTCTCAATTCAGTTTGCTTCAATTTAGATCAGATTCGGGTTTTTTTTTTGGACATAAATAGACATTTCCACAATAAGGGATGTATTTCTATTGCTTTGAATGGGCACCATTTTGCCCACTTCAGTGAAAACTGTCTTATCAAGAGAGCCTAAATCCCATAATAGTCGGTAAGTTATATTTATTTGGCAATTTTGACAGATTTATGTCTTAAAATCATGTCAAATCAAAGGCATTTCAAGATCTTTAGTTCAAAATCCTTTACTGAAATAGCATTAAATGTCTGATTTAAACTGACAAGAGAAAGAAAAATGCAAGTTAAGGTTGTCATTCCCAGGCACTCAGCAAGTTCTGTAGAATTTTTGCGGTCCGTAAAAGAGCTCCTGAAAAGTTAATACTAAGTGACCTTTTTTTATTTAGGACTTACTTGAAATTTCTTTTCCTTTTTTTTCTATGTTTTTCTTTGAAGTATTCTATTATTTAATATCTTTGGCTTTCCGAAATGTTATGTATTTTTAAGACTTCAGTTACATGGAAAGATTAAACTTCTGTAACACAATATGTAAATGACAGGACTCCCTGAAAGGTCTCAGACATATTTCTAAAGTACTCTTTTTTTTATAATTGAAGATAAAATATTCCCTTTCTTTCAATGTATTTTTAAAAATTTCCTTAACTAACAGTTTGAATAGCCTGTACTGGATTTACTTACCAGAGATTAGCATCTTTTTAAACCTTAATTGAATCAAATTAGATATCACATTTGTCCTCACACAGTGCTCAAAACTGTCAAGGCAACTTTAGTTCTTCTCCCCTTTGATTAAATGATGTTTAGTAACGGCTATGAACAGCTACAATGGGAGGCAACACAGGCAGCATTAGAAAGACAAAGAGAGATCTGTAAAACTTCACAACTAGCTCCATAACATATTAATTATATGTCAGCAAAATCACAGATATCAAATTGACTCTATATTGATGAACACTTGCATTTGAGCTTGCATATAGAGTGATTTCTATAAACATATTTTCTGTATCTGGCATTCTATTAGCTCACTCTCGCTTTTATGAAGAGTTAACTCCTTTTTTTTTCTTTTTTTTTGAGATGGAGTCTCGCTCTGTCGTCCAGGCTAGAGTGCAGTGGTGCGATCTCAGCTCACTGCAACCTCTGCAGCCCTGGGTTCAAGTGATTTTCCAGCCTCAGCCTCCTCAGTGGCTGGGATTATAGGTGCGTGCCACCACTCCTACCTAATTTTTGTATTTTTAATAGAGACGGGGTTTCACCATGTTGGTCAGGCTAGTCTCAAACTCCTGACCTCGTGATCCACCCGTCCTGGCCTCCCAAAGTGCTGGGATTACAGGCGTGAGCCACCGCGTCTGGCAAAGAGTTAACTCTTCCATGAAGAGTTAATTGGTGCTCATGATAGTGGCCCTGTGGAATTACATTATTATGAAATGTCTGCTAAATCACAAAAATTTTATTGGGTGGGGTACAATTTTTCATTGAAAACTTAAAATATGCATAGGGATATAGGATAATTATCAATAAGTATAATCTCTACACAACCATTTAAGATTACCAGTAATGTGTTGGGTTTCCTCCTGAATTGTTTACATTAAAGATTGTGAAACACAAAATTTCCAATATTTTTAGGATACCTCTTTATTCATGAAGTTGGTATGTCTAAGGAGAGATGAAACATAAGATTCATCTTCAATAAATAAGCAGGGCTGCCATGTAGGTTTTTTAAAAATTGCTACAAACCATCTTTAATGCTAAAAGAGACTCTGGCATTCTGTAATGCGTTTTGCATACATCAAGTCATTTTTGAGGATCAAAGAGTAACTATATAAAGAGTTCCATTATCTGTGTCCTTAAAGTGGGATACAAATAGACCAAGTAAATTGTCCAGAATTACGCGTATAGCAAATGGTGAAGATATGCTTCAACCCCAATCCTGCAAAATATACTTTCTACTATACCAAAAAAAATGTAACAGGTACATAAAAATAATGGGAAAAATAAAAATAAAAAACTGAGCAAAAAAAATATAAGATTTAAAAGTGAAAAATATGTCTGCCATTAAGAATATGGATTAATTTTAAAAGAATGTATTTTTAATGTGGAATTTTTTCTTGTACATGTATATGTCCTATGTGTATGAATTAACATCTTATTCTAAAAAATAGTTTATCCAAATATTTGTACTCTTTATTTCCGACAAATGCTGTCTTAATAAATATTTACAGTTTATAAAGTTAGTATACTTAAGCTAAAAAGATATAAATTTTAGAGTGAATATAAGTAATATATATTAATAATGCATTTACATGTTTATAAAATATCATTTTTTAGTAAATGTATTTGAGAATATGTAGAATTTTTTTAAAGTTTTGTTTGTATGTTAACTTAAGAATGGAGATGAAATGGCAATGCAGGTGTCAGACTATGTGGGAAGTTTTCTTTCAACATACTGTGATTTAATTTTCCTTGAAATAATTTACCTTTGCATTTTTTTATAATATTATGCTTAAAGTTTAAAAAGTGACTTTTTTTTTTTTTTTTTTGAGATGGAGTTTTGTTCTTGTTGCCCAAGCTGGAGTGCAATGGCGCGATCTTGGCTTACTGCAACCTCGGTCTCCTGGGTTCAAGCGATTCTCCTGCCTCAGCCTCCCCAGTAGCTGGGATTACAGGCATGCGCCACCATGACCGGCTAATTTTTTGTATTTTTAGTAGAGATGGGGTTTCACCATGTTGGCCAGACTGATATTGAACTCCTGATCTTAGGCAATCTGCCTGCCTTGGCCTCCCAAAAAAGTGACTATCTTGTACCTAAATATGTATCACAAGATACTTCTTGCACTGGTCAACACAAACGAGCCAGAAAAATATTCTCATTTATCAATATTATTTTATTCATTAAGTGCATTTTCTTAAGTTAGCTCAAATAGCTTAGCTGATGATTGTTAACATCCACATTTCTATGCACAAGTAAAGGAGCCAGAGAGATTAATCTCCCACTTTTCATGACATCTGTGGCAGAGGAGCCAATTTGATCCTGGTAATTGCTTTCTGATTTGTTTCCATGATGATGTACAGGTGGAGCTAGTGAAATAGGCTTTACCACATAGTAAGTTGACACTCTGAGACTCACACTTACTTCCCTGGGTCTCCCTAGCATAGGAAAGGTAAAAACAGTGTAGCTGGGGCATGGGGACTATATTAACTCTGTATCAAATTAAAGTTTCACTTATCCCCAAAGTTTTTATGCTTAGATCTGCAAGAAACTTCTACTCAGTGGTTGAAAGTGAGGAAGGGCATGCTTTCCTTTTCTTGATATACCCAGTAAAGGGCTTTCTTTCCTTCTTTTAAGGTAATACAAAATAGTTAATTGAGCTCAGTTATGCTTAGATAGAAATAGCTGAAGTAAGAACTCTATAAACCACAAAAATTTGTCTACTGAAATGATTCTATAAGAGCTATATTGTATGGTGAAATCTTAGTCTGCTGGAAGGAATCAATGGAAGCAGTATTCTATGTTTGAGATGAAAATTGTTTTGACTTTAAGATTATATAAAATTGAGGCCGGGTGCGGTGGATCACACCTGTAATCTCAGCACTTTGGGAGGCCAAGGCAGGCTGATCACCTGAGGTCAGGGGTTCGAGACCAGCCTGACCAACATGGAGAAACCCTGTCTCTATCAAAAAAAATACAAAATTATCCAGGTGTGGTGGCATATGCCTGTAATCCCAGCTACTCATGAGGCTGAAGCAGGAGAATCGCTTGAACCTTGGAAGCAGAGGTTGCGGTGAGCCGAGATCACGCCATTGTACTCCAGCCTGGGCAACTATAGTGAAATTCCGTCTCTAAAAAAAAAAAAAAAAAAAAAAAAAAAAAAAAAAAAAAAAAAAAAAGATTATATAAAATTGAAACTGCGTTTTAGTCCTTTGCCATGTTTGTGTTTTAGCTATGTTTAAGGTATTTTCACACATGTGTGTTTTTCTTATATATTCAAACCCTTCTTTTCCAATGACTTCTTTCCTTCTACCCATGAACATATTCAAATATCTTCTGCTGAAAGAAGAGCAAAAACACAGCAGTGACAACAGACCTTCCTTCTATTGTAGCCCCCCTTTAAGACTTTGCCTTAAAGTTCTCCTTATGTTATGAAAAGAACAGTTAGTCTTCCTTTCCTCTACCCTGGTCATTCCTGAACCTATCACAGTTTGGTTCTGGGCTCAACAGTCTCATGAAAAGAATTTCATCTGGTCGTTGGTTACTTCCCATTTTCCAAACCCAAAGACCTATTTTAAGTTCTCTTTGACATCCCACTGATATTTGCAACTGTTAATTGTAATCTACTCCTCAAATCCCTTTTTTAATGTTTCTGGAAATTAAGCTTTTTATCAGTCCAAATACGATCTTTTTGTCAGTAGACAATCCCTATAGGAATAAGGCACCTTTAATTTGTTTATGTAGCTTTACTTTTTGTCATTTCTACCTTCTACTTTGTATAAATTATTAACCAACTTAAATAATTATGTACCCAACTTAGCCACACACCGTGTCTGTTTTACCTCAGAAATGTGTCTTGAATCTGTTTCCCCTCTCCATCCTGATGGCTGCTGCCACTGCTTCCACCCTTGCCCTTCTCTTCTCTTACTTAGCTGATTGAACTATTCTCCTATTTAGTCTTTTCTCCCCAAAGTCCTTTCTTCTATTAAAATGTATACAAAAACATAGACTGATTTTGTCACTGCCCCACTTAAAATAGCCCTGGGATACCTGTGGTGGTCAAAACACTGTGTTTACCCAGTGGTTATTACGGCATCAGTGGCCATTCTCAATCTGGACTCAACACAACATTCATTACTAACTACACAAGCAGCATGCTCCTGCTTTCCATGCCTGAGTCTATCCCTCCAGATGTGCATATTTGCAAAGCTCTTCCCCAGATTCATTAGAGTCTTTTACAACACTGTACCTTTTACGAATGTTTCCTCCCCTGGAAAGTCGTTTTCACAGCATCTTTGCCTAAAAGATAAACTCCATGATTATTCCAAAAAACGCAGTTTACTTTAGTTCAAGTAAAGTTTTATAAAGGAACTTCTACGTGCATAAGACGGAGAACATAAAAAACGGGTGCAGCACACCAACATGGCACAAGTATACGTATGTAACAAACCTGCATGTTATGCACATGTACCCTAGAACTTAAAGTATAATAATAATAATTTTAAAAAGTATGATTTTTCTTTTTTTTGCCCCAAAGAGTTCATAGTCTGTAAGGAGTGGGGGAATAGAGAATGTGAGACACATTGACAAATTAATAATATATTATGAAAACAGAAGGAGGCAGGTAAACACTGACATCATTAGGGAGTTACAGCGAGAGGAGCTACTGCTCTTGAACACATTCTCCATATTAATACTTTTTAAGACTTTTCTACACTTAGAGCAGGTAGTTAAAGGGTAAAACTCACTTTCAGTGCTGCCATAGAAGATTTTGGATATTATTTTTCTTCAAACACAGCAAGCCATGCAGAAGAGAGTCAGGGAAGCCTTTTTAAAGAAATAAGTAGAGTTCAATATCTCCTCCACAGAGAAGTCTTTCCATATTCTCCCAGGAAGAACTCATATTCTTGTATCTTTATTCTTATAGGACTGTTCATATCTGTCATGATCACTGGTTTATCATGGGTCTTATGTACTATAGGTGTTCAGTAAGTGTTGGTTGAATATATGTACAATGAATTTGTTAAACAGGAATTAATACACTATAATGTATTCTAATTGATCTATTTACTTGTTTGTGAAATTTTAGAAAGAACTGCATATGAATTCCATGGTGAATGAGAGACTTTGCCACAAACTATAAAGGCAACTCTAAACATGTGACTTAACTTCTTAGGCTTTTTTTGTTTATTTGTTTTTCAGTTATTTTTGCTTTTTTGTTTTGAGATGGGGTTTCCTCTGTCCCCCAGAATGGAGTGTAGTGGCTCAGTCACTGCTCACTGTAACCTCAAACTTCCAGGCTCAAGAGATCATTCCACCTCTGCCTCCTGAGTAGCTGGAACTACAGATGCACGCCACCACGACTGGCTAATTTTCTATTTTTTGTAGAAACAGGGTTTTTCCACGTAGCCCAGGCTGGTCTCAAACTCCTGGACTCAAGTATTCCGCTTGCCTTGTCCTGCCAAAATGCTGGGACTACAAACATGAGCCACCATGCCCACCTAAGCTTTTTTGTTATCCCCAAATCGAAAGCGTTAGATTAAATTTTGATATAATGATTTAAACATTATTTTACAGATCTAAAATTTCCTTTTCTACTAATTTGTTATTAATCACAGTTGGAATACATTTATTCAAAATATATTCAGTATAAGGTAACAATTATCACATTTATTCAAAATATATTCAGTATATTTAAGGTAACATCTTAAGTATATTTAAACTTAAATATACTTAAACCACAAGATGTGGTATATTTAAACCACATCTTGTTAAATGTTGAAATTCTTTATTTATTTGTAATTAACTAGTAAGAACAAGAATATACAAATTCCAGGCTAAAAGTGTATTGGATCTCTTGAAATTAGTATTTAAATTTTGTTTATTAAAAACTGAATGGATTACTTAAGATGAAAGAAAACCTGGTTTAAGGTTAACCCATGAAATATATCTACATCATTCCAGTAGTAGGAAATTGCTATTCATCTCAGTAAAATTAACTGAAGTTAATTGATTTAGTTATTATCAAAATCTTTTATTTTTAAACGCAAATGATTTTTTTTCAACTGAGCAGCAATTATAGCCAAAAGGTTTAAATTATCTAGGAAACTTTAACTTAGTCATAGATTGTGACATCCATTTAAACCAAATATATAAGTGACCTGCTGTATTTGAAATCCTTAATATTACTTCCAATGGTGCAAGGAGCACTTTGTATAGTTCAAGCTTTGAGTGTTTATAAAAAATATAAACTTTGAATATATTAGAAATGATATAGTAAAATTTGAGCAGAACATAACAAAACAAAAAGAAAGTTTTATTGTGACACTGTGAACATTGGATAACTATAAAAATAGTGCTAAATAAATGAAATAATCAGAAAATGATAAAGAAGACTGAAAAATGTTGCTATCATAAATTTAGGTTTTCTTTAATTATTCTACTTCTATAAGAGAAAATTTTAATAGACATATATTTGATATTTTGTCTCTCTAGGTGAAGTTTGGATAGTATATTTTACATTTTTTAATTGGTACAAATTGGATGGAAGCAATTCAAGTCATGAATGTAATTTTACTTAAGAAAGTCAAGGGAAGCCTGATCATATTGAATGCTGTCTTTAAGCAGTTTTAAAAATTAAAATTTTAGAGAAAACTAATAATAACTGACAATACTATAAATATTTGTAATGCAGTCGTATATTGCTTAACAATAGGGATAGGGTTTGAGAAATGCACCATTAGGTAACTTCATTGTTGTTATGTGTGAACACCCTAGAGTGTACTCACATAAACCTAGGTGGCATTGCCTACTACTCTTCTAGGCTATATGGTCTAGCCTAATCCTTTTCAGTTACAAACCTGTACAATATATTATTGTAGTGAATACTGTAGGCAATTGTAACACAATGATAAGTATTGTGTGTCTAGGGATATCTAAACATAGAAAAGGTATAGTTAAAAACATAGTTTTATAATCTCATGACACCACCATGGTGTATATGATCCGTTGTTGACTGAAATATCATTGTCCAGCACAGACTGTATTCTAATTACATTTATAAAAGTTATGAACATTTAACCCTAAGTTAAAAATCATGTTTATTAATTTCAAAGTGATGTTAAAATTAGATAAAACTGACATTTTATCTGAGGCACACCAATACACCAAATTACTACATACTCACTGCTGTTAGGGGTCTTTTGAAGAAACTGAATGAATAATTGTTGACTGTTTGATTGAGTCCCCACTGTGTGATTCATTGAATCCCAATGATTCTGTCTTGTGTTACCCTTGAAATCCATTTTTCAAGGATTGATAATCATATATATTTTTTATTTCTGTTTTTATAATGTTAATGCTAACTTATAAGGAAACCAAATTAGTAAATAAAGATTATAGATGGTCAAATAATAAAGAAATTCACTAATACTTGTTTCTCCTTCCACCTAGTTAGTTGCCTATATTATTTGGAGGAAATATAGTCATAGTTTCATAACTTTTATAGAAGTTTTGTGTAATCTTTATATAATTTTTTTGGTGCTATGCTACACACACATATATGTAGTTATATGTACACTCTAAAGTTTCAAATAAAGCATGCTAAAAGATTTTTCCTGAAGTAACAGTTGTAAATGTTATACTTTAATTGAGTTAAATTCACAAAATCCAAGTATTCAAAACAATAAAAAGAAAATATTTTTCTGGTCAAATTTAAAGGTCAAAACAACATACTCGCATAAGAAATAAGCTTGGACATGGCATTTTTTGCATAATGCCTACTGTCATTTCAGTGTCTACCTTTGAAAGCATCCATTCTTGTTAAAAACATTTGCCACTGCTGACAATTTCAGAACAAAAATTTAGGGAAGAAATTTAAATTTGTCTTCTAATAACAATTCCAACAACTAATTAGACATGCAATTTTTGTTCTTCTGTATAATCCACGTGATTTAGAGAAATATTTATTCAGTCTTCCTACCACAATTATTGGACCCTGTGTACTTGCTGATCAACAGAATTCATTATACTCAGCCTTGTAACCCAAGGAAGTAAAAATTTGTAATTATTTAAAGAAAAACTAGAATACTGTATTAAAACAATCACATTGATATCAAGGACTTACATCATGAAAGACAGAAGGTGTTATAGGCAGGTGATAATATTTATCCATTATGTGGGGAGTTTTTGGCTTTAGAATTTTGTAGAGTCTAATAAGAGAGATTATAATAATATTTTATAGCAACTTAGAGTAGTGTAGCAAAGGAATAAAAGAATAAAGTAGCTAATAAAAAGTGTCTTAAAATATAACTTAATAGAGATTACATGACATATGTATAACTTTTGCTTTTCATTACTCATCTGTCTGGGAGGAGTCTGATTTTAGAAACAAAATCAATTTTCAAGCTCAATGAAAATCAGCATCTTTTCATTGTATTCTCATTTTTGTCATTTATAGCTAAGAAATCGTTTTTGTAACACCAACAAAGGGAAAATTACCTGATATTTTTGTGGTAAAGTTTTAAAATCATCCAAGTTAATGTGAATAATTTGTTGAGAAAAATAATAATTGATTGTGAAAGTTAACACATTAGCAAGGTAAGGAAGTGTTGGCATGCTTGAGCAGTCTTGCCTTTGCATCTTATTTTTCTCATCTGCTTCTCACTTGCCTAAACATGTTCATCAGAAATTATAAAAGGATTTGTCCTGTCTCTGGTTCATACGCATATTTTGCTGCCAAAATGTCTAAGAAGAAACTTAAGAATCTCAAACATTTTATTGAGTTTACTACCAACATTGTCATTAACTGTTTATTGAATGAAGTATTTGAGGTAATGTAGTTCACAAAATGACAACCTATTGTCTGTCTTCTAGTAATTTCTGCCTATTCAGCTCTCCCCCACCATCACCCTCAGCACATTGCTAACATCACCAATCACTGCCCTGCTTCTCTCATTTCTGGACATTGAAAACCTATTTTATATGTAGAATAATGGCTTTGCTGGGGTGAGATAAGGCAGGCAGTTACTCTGGGAAGGCTAATAATTTGGCATTTGAATAAATTTTCAACCGACATGTTGAGTCTTGGATTGAATTAATCCAAGACTCAGCATGTGAGTTTAACATTTACCATTGAATCATATGTTGAGTATTGATTGATTATTATTGATTCAATCCAAGACTCAACATAGGAGTTGAACATTTTAATTCTGTTTAAAGGAAATTTTTACATTTGTAAAATGAAAATCAACAAATCATGTTGGTTGTACAATAGCTATTAAAGATCCTTATATGGCTGATTTGCTTAGTATCTCTCAAATTCACTCCTACCCAAACATAGCAAAACAAAAATGACAAAGCACGAAGCAGAATAAAAAAAAATGAAGTCTATATGTAATTCTGGCTCTTGCCTAATTGTTGAAATTTTAAAAAGATTAAGGTGATAAAAATAGGACATGAATAACATCTCAAAGAAAAATCTATAGCTATCTTTTTTTTCCAATTAACAAAGAGCTTTCAGCACATATTTCAAAAGAAATGTTTTGCTTTTAAGAATGTAGTCATTGAAGCTGTGGATGTCATTTTAGAAGATGATTTACTAACTGCATTTTTAAGATTCTACATGTGAAAACGAGGCACTTTGGATTTCCTTCTAAGTCAGCACTGTGCAAGCTCAAGAGAATATTAAATGTAGTATTTTCTAACCCTATTAAATATTTAATAGCTTTCCTTCTGTTGTTTCTATATCAAGGACAAGTCCTGTAAACCTTGACCTGAAAGCCCTAAAATGAGCTAAATAATCTATGAAAACAATCACTTAAAAAAATCTAGCTGAAAGATTTCAAAATCTGGGA